CGCTAGGATCAATTTACGTTTTCCCCTTAGTAAATCTTCTTTCTGTGACTTAATCAACATCTGCAGATGCGAAGCAAAGAAACAATCACCGAGCGGAGGCTCTGCTTTCAGTTCTTTCTCAACCATGAACCAGAGTAATGCAGCCCAATCTAACTTTTCCAAATGCTTTTGCTTTATATCCTTTCCCCATTCAACTACCTCTACAGGCATAATCCACATATCATCTCTTTGCAGTAAAACCCAAGTTGCAAGAATCTCATCTATAAACTTGATTGATTCATCGTTGTTCAGAATCTCTCTCTCCTCCTCTGTAATGACAATATCTTTCTTCTTAGGCAATTTCAAAGCTCGAGCCAAATCGGCACGGCTGATATTAATCCTAGACCCAGTTACATAGCTGCATCTATTCTCTGGGTTATAAAAAGCGATAAGCTCCGCTACTAGATCCTCGCGGATATTCTGTTCGAACTCCAAATGCAGAAATTCCCAGATACCTAGCGTCTTCAAGAGCTTCTCATGCCGAGAAAAATCTAGGGTTTTACCTGGAACGAAAGCAACTGGCTTCAAAGTTTTCAAAAGTACCTCAAGCTTCTCCCTTTTCTTCTTCTGCTGCCTCGTCAGCTTCCGTTTCTTCTGATTCCCTTTCTTCCGCTTCGACCCACCTCCACGCCGGTGAATCGGAGAGCTAACGGTTTGCGTGGCGTCCATATCGTCTTCTTCGTTCCTACTTTCTTCAATCGTCGACGGCTCTGTTTGCTGATCTCTACCGTCGAACTCCTCCGTTCGGTCCTGCGTTGATTCTAGATTTAGGGCTTTGTTAACGACGGAATATGCAGTCTCCACGGAAACATTTCCTTGCTCTTCGCTCGGTTTCTCGATTATACCAGGGCTAAGCGAAAGAGCTTCCTCCTCTGTAACTGGATCTTGATAAGATTCGGTGGGATCTGACGGAGAAGCCATGGCTGATTTTTTTTTTTTTCCTCGGAAAAAAGTTAAACTGAGTCAATTTCACGGTCGCAAGACCAAAAAGCTTCAAAGCCTTTTCCAAAAGCAAAACATCCAATCAGGCATAGACACGTCATCGATCCGAGCAACCTCCTTGAGAAGTGAAAGAGTCTTTAACTCTCATATGGGCCCTACAAACACTTCATTTCGTCATGGGCTGAAATATCTTAAGAGAAGCCCAAATCAATGAATCATTAATCGGTAGAATCCAAAAATTACATAATACATCCGAATCTTTCTCTCTTTTACGGAACAATCCAAAAACTGTCTCTGGACTCTTGGATTCCCATTTCTCTCTCTTTCTCACTGACTCACTGTTAGATCTTCCGTTTTCCCGATACCTTTAACGGTAACTTTCTGATGCCACTGCGAATCAGCGACTATAAATACCCTACACCTTCTTCGTAACGGACCTTTGCTCTTTGCTTGATCTTCTCTATCACTCTCTGCGAAAATGATTATGCATCTCTCTCTCCTCGCCGCGACGGCGGCGATGTTAATGGCTGTTGCAACTGCGCAGATCGGAGGTCAAGTCTTGCAGGTGGAGTTATGGTGCGTAGCGAAGAACAACGCTGAAGATTCGTCGCTACAGACGGCGATGGACTGGGCTTGTGGGCAAGGCGGCGCCGATTGTGGTCCGATCCAGCAAGGTGGACCTTGCAACGACCCGACGGATATCCAGAAGATGGCGTCGTGTGTTTTCAATAATTACTACTTGAAGAATGGTCTCGCCGATGAAGCTTGCAATTTCAACAACAATGCTGCTCTTACTTCCATTAATCCCAGTAAAGCCTAACATTCTTCTGAAATTTCGTAACCTATATCTGTTTAGTGTAGTGGAATTTGGGGATTAATCGTGCTCAATTGTTGTGAAAATTCAAGTTTCAGATTCCAATTTTGGTACATCTGTGTAGCTTGTTGAAGTGATTTTTCCAATGTGTGTGTGTGTTTTCAGGTCAAGGAACTTGCAAATTCCCTTCGAGGTAATCAATTTACGGCGTTTTTTTTTCTCTGTTTCAAACTATTTTTGAGGAATTTTAGTTCGATATGAAGTTTAGTGATATAGAAGATGGTTTAGTGATATGAATTCTTCAGTATCAGTTATGCTCATCAGTTTCCTTAATGAGAGGAATCTTGTTTTGATGAATGAAATTTCTTCATTCCATGGAGAATGGATTTGGCTCTTAGACTGTTCAATACATGATGAACAAGACTGGACTGAATGATTGTCTTTGCTTTTCTGTTTGGTTTTCGTTCTGGGATTGTTTTGTGTTGCTTTGTTCTCTGGTGATTCACTTCCATGACTTATCTCGTTTTGTTCTGTAAATCTCATGAATGTGCAGTAAGAGACTGAGCAATGGTCGAGTCGCGGATGACACTTCAATGGGTGCAGGACAAGCATATACGAGCCGCGGAAGACGGATTTCCAGCAATTGGATCTTGTTCTTCATTGGTTTTGTCAGCTTATTGACGATGATGACACGGATACTTCATAATCTTTAGGCCATGCACACGGACTCATTGATGATCCGAAATGTGCCATTTTAATCTCTCCCAAGTCCCAATATACCTATGAAGATAGGTCTAATATCTAATTTTGATTCTGTGTCCTCCCAATTCGAGTGTGTTTCAACATGTTTTGATATAACATTCATTGGGAAGCTCTAGTGGCATTTCTCTTTTATCAAGGAATATATAACGATGTAATGTGATCAGCCAAAACTAGTAAATAGATTTAATCCGAAGTTCGTAATATTCAAAGATTGATTAATTTGCAGAAAAACGAATCTTGTAGATGATCTATCAATCATGCAACGAACATAAATTGATTTGAAGTTTCAAGGATTATTTTGAGGGACTTTGAATCTTCTTCAATTGTTCTTGAATTAATCAAAATCAGGAACAAACCAAGCATCTGGTTAAAAGAAAGACATCTCATTACTTTTTCTTCTTTGAACTCTGCATCTCTTGCTTCTTGCTCTGCACTTGCAATTTCATTTTCTTCCTCTCAGCTTTTTTAATTTCCATTTTAGCATCAAAAACATATTGTTCTACCATCCTCTTCGCCTGCTTCACCTTATCCACAAGACTTTCTTGGTTTCTTTTCTCAGAATCCTGCAGGACATCTCTTACAAATCTATGCTCAATTGTTTTCAAATCCTCCAGGGTCTGCTTCTTTGCAGACTTTTCCACAGGACCAGTGAGTTCAAGAGTGAGTTCTTCAAATTCTTTTAGCAACAGTTGGAAACTAGCCAAGTCTTTAGAGAGTTTCTGCTTCATGTTGACCTCAGGATTGGTGAAGACACACTGAGATTTTGAACCTCCTGAAACATAAAAGAGTACAATATATAATTAATTGTTTAGAGCTTTTGGCGTCTGGATCCCATCATATATAACCTCAAAAGATTTTTATACCTTTATTGTTGTCACTCTTCTCACACACCCCATCAACTATAGACATCTTTGTATTTGCCTCAGTTTGGAGATCTTGGCATTGGTACGGGTCCATATCCTTCAAAGCAAGAGGATATTATGATGTGAAGGAGAACAAGATGAGTTAAAGCAAAAACCCTAGTTCTGGTGTGGGGAAGAAGAAATCTTAAAAAAGAAAATGGTTATTAGCAAAACCAAAAGTGTATACATTTAGCTACCCGAATTAAACCGAACTAACAAAATGATTTGAGTTACTTGTCAATTCCCGAATAACGTTGTTCGCGCTGCCAAACAAAAAGTGTCTGGCTTAACATTCGACGGACTCCGAACGGCGATTATTCTATCTTCTCCGACGTCCGCCTTATATCGGTGAGCCTCTTCTCGTCTTTTAAGGTTTGACTTACGGTGTGTTGTTTATGTGTAAAACTGGAATTTGTCGACGTTGATGGATTAGGGTTTGTGATGCTGATCGAATGCTTAATGTCGGAGGAAAATTTCATCATTATTGTATAAGATTTAGGGATTCGTATCGCATATCAAGAGAAATCGTTCAATTTTTGTTTCCAATTCTCGTATCTGCTATAAAATGAATTTCCTTGATTTTGGTTTTTGCGTCTGTTAGATTTTCTCGGGAAAAAAAAAGAATCATTTACTTTCTTGTTTGCCTGCATATTTATATAATTAAAGTTTTCTAGTAATGTTGACGAATGATTGACAAGGAACAATGATTCGTGCCCAATGATGTTAATGATCTCTTCTTCGTTACCATGATCATGGCTTCTGACATCGATAATAGAACTATGAAAGATGCAATTGAATCTTGATTGCATCTTGTTAACTCTTTAAGCGGTTTCTATACGTTGTGGCAGAATCTAGCTCGAAAATGGAAAACACCGGGAGCATTAAGCAAGAAGCACCACAGCCTCTTCCTCTTGGGATCTTTGAGATACCGGGAGAGCCTGCGGTTGTTATCAACGGTGTGCCTGATTGTACGGTTGCCAAAGATGACGAACCAGTATCATCAAGTGGCACTGTAGGAAGTGGTGAATGGCTTGTGGGTAGACAAGTTCAGAAGTTTTTCTTGGGTCGGTATTATTCTGGTACGGTGACAAAGTTCGAGAAAGAATATGGGTGGTACAGAGTTGAATACGAAGATGGGGATTCTGAAGATCTTGACTGGTGTGAGCTTGAAGAAGTACTTTTACCTTTGGATGTTACTCTCCCACTGAGATCAATCTCGTTGTGGATCATCAAGAATCGACAAACACTGGCCCAAGCTTATGGACGCTAGACCAAGAAGAACCTTCAAACACAAAAGGGATTGCCTGAGTGAATATGGTAAAGTAAGAAGAAAAGGTTACACCATTTTGCATAGTCTTTTGAAAATTTCATCACCTGAAAATGTTAGACGTCTAATAGAGTATTGTACTTGTTGAATCATGGAATTGTAGAGAGGTGATCACAAAATGCTAAAATGCTAAATTTGGATGGTCCAAAATCTTTAACTCTTGAAGTGGAACCTGCATCACATTTGATATTTTGTACAATTACCAAACACGTTCTTCACTGCAATGACAAGAAACATATCACAGATCCATTCTTTGTCAAATTAGATTACCTTGAGTACTGCACATGCCCGATGCAGCTCATCTTTCCTAATGCTTCCCATAACATCAGCATAACCTGAAACAATCCAAAATGAAATCCAAACTACATTTTAGTAGCATCCCTCTCTTTTATTCAAATTAACTAGAGATTCCTCAGGCCACATTAGTGCAACTGTTTGGATAAATATACGCGATTATGCTGTGGCACAAAAGGACTTATGTTGGTTCAACAAGCTTTATGGAATTTGAATAATAACTTTGAAAAGAAGAGTTTGCTAAGGAATATTATCAGTGGACAAGCATAATATGTGAAGGTTGTTGGCATTGGAAGTTAAGTAGTTTATTGTTGGAGAAAAGAACCTGTCGAAGACTTATCTCTCAGCATAACATAAGAAAACTAATCTCGACACATTTCACTATTCCAATACATTCTCAAATCTTACATTGACTCATCATGGATGTGCGATAACGAACATCACATTTTTCTTGTGACGAGTTTAAGAACATTTCAAGTTTCTTCTGTAGCAGCAACTTGAGAACCCTCATGATTCTTGATTTCTGAAAGTGTTTCTTTCGTCATTTTCAACCTCGACCAGTCTCTCATCTAGCAACTCTACCGCCTCCTTGTGTCTTTCAAGTACTTTGAGACAGTCATCTTTCGTATTCACGTATAATGTGCCATTTGGCCTTTTGCACGTTTGACGATACTAAAAAAAAAAAAATTAACAAAACGATAAATTATAACAAAATAGACAAGTATCTAATCAGTAACATTGGATTATATAAACACTAAGATATTTCTACAACTTAAAGTAACATACTCGAATATTCTACAACTTACAGTGTATTTACTTAATATGATGATTAGCAAATCGATTTCAATTGGATTATTGGTTAAGCACAAGGTCAAAGTTTTTGGCTTTGCAAATCCATTTCAATTGGATTATTGGTTTTACTATTCGAAACATAATATGCTGTAATATTCCTAGAGAATTAACCCTAATTTTTATTTATAATATTATTGTTTTATTTGTTTCTTACTAAAATTTAAAATATAAACCACAGAGAGGAAACGTTTAATGAAATTGACAAGAGGCCGGGAGACATATATGACATCATCCCCACAAACATCTA